GACGTCTCTTTGTGGGAAGTCTCTTTTTGTATCGAAAAGTTAAATTAATTATTAATTATTCCGTTTCCGTATATCCTCACTCTGGTTAAAAATGTGCCGCTGTTATATCTTAATAGGTCTTGCGTTTAAATAAGTTTAAAATGTATTACAAAAGCCTGATGGCTTTCTGGAACAGGTACTCGATGCTGCTGCTGGCATTAGGGTTGATTTTCACGCAATCATCTGTCGGAGCTTTACCACGAGAAGGTACATATTTTGCACGATCGAATGTTTCGTCCGAACTCACCGGGACGTCTTCCAGTCACAGTATTTCGATCATCAGGATCTTGTCCGACGGACGATTGGAACGGTTTATCCGGTGGCCCGGAGCTTGCGTCAAGGAAATCATTATCAATTGGGGGTGGGCATAGCTACATTTTTTCTTAATAGAATTGAAACAGTTAGACCAAGTCAAATAATTTTGTTATAGCCGAAGCAATTAAGCGCGAATAAATTGCTTCATTGTATATCTAACATCGAAATCTGAACTCAATGATGTTGTTCTGCTTGTATTATATGCTTTCTTTCATGAAACGCGTCGAGTGTTTTCATACTAACAAAGGCTAGCGTGTAACAACCTGTGCTATCCTCTTTCTTGAAATAACATTTTCTCGGATATAAGCAAATCTCTTCTTCCTATCCCACCTACAATCGTCCCGCTTCCCTTCTCTGCCATATATGTAGTCGGGAGGATTGAAGCGGGAACTCGGTTGGCAAGCACGAAAACAATGCCGCCTTTCACTATTGCCAATATGTGGAAGCTTGACTGTTATGTATACATTTAGCGTCGGTTAGGTCTTTCAAATGCCACCCATCGCTCCGAAGAACGCTGATAATACAATCTAATGGAACAGTCTCTGTGAATCCTTGTCAACCGTAATAAGTTTCAATACAATTGGAATGTATAAATGCTCACCAGAAGAATCGATGCTCAAACGAATGAATAAATTGTACATTTTATTTTTTCTTCTCTGTCGGATTACATAAAGAATATAAATCTATTTTTTTTATTTTTCTAATAAAAAATTGTACATGTTAATATTTATACACGTGCTAATATATATTTATATAAATATAATCTTAATGTCAATTAAGCAGTTATGCAAAATTACGTGACAATAAATTGGACTCTTTGTGAATTTTCTTTGCTTGTTTTACAAAGAGTCATATGTATACGATGTAATAATAACTACTTGAAAAACGTACGAAGAGATATTTCAAAAGCACATAATTCTTCTTAAAAGTATGTATTTTTTCTTTTATTGATAAGAAATAGAAGAGAAAGAAAAAAGAGAAAATATTGTTACATGAAAAATATCAATGATTTACGAATAATATATGTCTAACAAAAACAGCAGCATTTTATAAAGACATGATAAGAGAGAGACAACAGAATGCTGTAAAAATGAATAAAATAATAAGAAAATAATTTGATTGTATAGAACATAATAATGATAAAGTAGCAGTACATAAAATGCAATAATATAACTGTTATTCCGTTAGATTTGAAAACTAAAAAAAGAGAATACAATTTATCATGTTTATTCGTTGACAGTAACCGCAAAGCCAACCAAGCTCTTAAGCCGAAAAGCGGCAAGTTAAGTAAGCAAGGATTAGGTTCTGCGACAAGCGGACGTCCTGGAACCTCTACGTAGGGATCGGATTGGCCCCTTTTGCACTGGACCTAAACGTAGTTCGGTAGGTCGCTGTCCTGTTTTACTCTCCTAGATGGGACTCATCTGCTGATGCTCTCACGAGGATACCATGGAATACCACAACCACGAAGCGTCACTTTGCACTTAAACGCTGGACGAAAGCTCTTTTACCGTCGTGAAGAAAGTGCACGCTCTGCTTTTCGCTAACCGTCCCCTCTTTCCGAATTTGCTCTTATACCGCCTGAATAATTTGTTGGAAAAAATTTAATTTAATTTAATTCTTTTTATTATTACATTGTTAAATATATCATATCAGTTAAACGCAGATCTGTAGCATATGTTGATATAAATAAATCTACCGGCAAAATTATTATATATATATCTATCTGCTATCTAATTTCTATCAATTTTGAGACAATAAATAAATATAATAAGTTTATTTCGCTCTCACATTTCTTTATAAATTTTACTATTCATTTTATTACTTTGATATACAGCATTTAACCGGAAATTAATTAGATTACAATAACGTTTGTTCTCTCGATAGAAATACAAATGTGACACTGCGACAAGTCTGGCTTCGTAAGTCAAATAGAAAGCTGCAATTGATATATGCCGGTGAAACATTGACTGACTGCATTGACGAGAAGCTCGCGTGGTGGGACGACAGCGAGTGTTTACCTAGCTCTCGCGGTGTCTATCGCTATCACGATGACGGTGACGAGGTGTCGATCGAGGTGTTCCAACTGGACGGTAAGGACATTTCGAGGATACCCCGTGACCTCTCTTGGCTGCTGTCGACATCGGAGCTTCGTCACCGATGCGATCGCATGAGAATGCGAATACGAAGCCAAGCCATGGCCCAATATCGACATAGGTATAACCTAGGAGCGAGTATATAGTCTCCCGAGTCTCGACTGGCTTATAATCTCTCGGCTTACGTAAGCCGCGTCGCGCCGGCCGAGCCGCTCGAAGCTAAGCGATGCCCGTTATACAAATGTATGAGCTTTAATTCTTTGTAACAGGAAATACGCAAAATCAACGAACGCGACAGCAAATAATGGAAAGCAAAATCGAAGTCGGAATCGAATTCGAAGAGAATTATTTATGATACCAGGGACGCAATGGTGCGGTCGTGGTGATCGTGCCACCAAGTATACCAATTTGGGCGGCTTCGGTATGGCTGATGCCTGTTGCCGAAAACACGATACATCTTGTCCTTTTCACATACCGGCCTTCGAGACGCGTTATGGCGTTTTCAATTGGAGAATTTCAAGTATGATGCATTGCGCTTGTGACGAGCGGTTAGTAATTAATGGAATTATTTAATAATACGATCTATAAAGAAATATTTGTGAGAAAATAGCGATAAATACAAAAAAAAAAGTAAAGTTCTCGATATAATATGAATATAATATGAATATATAAAATATTTGCATAAGTATAATCTTCAGGAAATATTACTGGACTTATTTAGTGCATTTATAAATGATTTAATTGCATTTATAAATGACGCGATTTATAAAATACGCGTTTTTTTTTGTTTGTTTTTTTTTTAATGTACGATATTGTGCGATATTCAATACAAATTGTTTGATATCTCTGAATTTAATTAACAAATTTCATAAAATTTATTATCGATTATATGTATGCAACAGTTTCATCGCTTCTTACAATTATTTTTATTTAAGATTTTTTTGTATACAGATTTCGCACATGTTTGAAAATGGCTGGGACTGCATCGGCGGATTTTATAGGCAAAATCTTTTTCGACGTACTCCAATCAAAGTGCTTTATTTTAAAATCGCAAAAGGTATGCGTGAAACGGTCCTGGTGGGGTAAATGTCAACATCATGAATACCGAAAGCAGGCCTACGTACGAGATAATGTTCCTTACTAAAGGTGTACAGCGTAAGAGATCGTCATAAAGAAATAATGAAGTATTCTTCTTCCGGAGATGTCAATAGCAATTCTCAGGGATGTAATATTTTGTCGAATACTTATACTATGTCAAGAAAAACATAAAGAAGTCGATTAGATAAATCATGAAATTATATTACCAAAGATTGACAATAGATACATCATAATTCGTAATGTCTTCGATATGAAAAAATTATTATATTAAATCTGCCAATATAGCTATATTTATACGTTAGACATCCTGAATTATGAATTATCAGAAACAAAGGGATCGTATGCGAATGTACTGTTTTACTAATTTATATCTTATAATCAATTTCCAAATATTCCAAAAAAATCGAATAAATACAATTAGTAAGCTGTCTCTGTTTTTCTAACAAGTATAAAATATTTTACAATATATCTTTACTTAATATATTACATACATACAAGTTTTATAAGAATAAGAATTCAATCTTCATATTCGTATACATTTCATAAATGTTTATTTAAATTTAAATAAATATTTGTATTAATTTATTTCTTTTTCTCATATTTCTACATATAAAAATTTAATTCGAGAAAGTCCATCATTATAGGTACCGGCAGTCTTTATGTATAAAGTTGTGTTAAACACTTGTAGATAGAGTTTGTTAATTTTTAAACATTATTAGTAAACTATAAACAAATTAATAGAATCGTGGAGTTAAGCTTTAGGATAGCTTAGAAGTTTTGATGAAAAAATTATTATATACATATATGGTATGTATGTATTTATATTAGTTACAAGCTATGTAGAAGATAAATTTCTAGATTTGATCAAGAATAATAATTTCGATTTCCATTCTAATAATACATTTATACCAATACATAAAATGCTTCCGTTCTGATACGATTCGATGTAATATATATAATTTATACGAAGAAATTGTAGAATAATCGAACCAACAAATTTTTCAAAATTATAATTCTTTGATCAATATAATATTAATATCCGAGTTTCTGATCACAAATTTATAAAATCTCTTCATGCTTTTAAAAATCCTTAATATTTAACATTAAATATTTTATTTGTAATTAAAGCTACGAACTTTCTAATTTTTTGTTTAAGAGAATAAAATTAATTAAGTTAAAACGAAATAAATAAAATCAGATTTTATTATTTAATAATATATATTTTTATTCCCTTTTTAATTCAATTTTTGGAAAAGTTCATTTAGTGATAGAAGTCTATTAGAAATACTTTAAATCGACAACTTTTACATGTTTGTCAAAATAAGTATGATGCAGTATAATGTGCTATCGGTTTGGTCACTTGGTGTATGTGCAGCATGCAGTCACGTGGTCAATCGCGCTTGTTTCTGCGCGCCAAATGCCACATGTTCTGTGATCTGTCTGACTAAAATTTGCTATTGTCACACTTGTCACAAACATTATTTTTTAAGACTTTAATTTGTTCCGATATAAAACTTTGTTTATAATATACATGGTGTGATATACATAATATTAAAGAAAAACAGTATTTGAAGTTAGCAATAAGATGTTACGTATCTAAATAACTGTGAGAGGTTATAATGTATAACGCGTATGAGACGAGAATGAAACGAGGTAATATACCTTGTTTATATACAGAACTTAATCTTGCTCTCACGTTGCACGGTGGCCAGAGTTTCAGGTAATGCTTGAAATATTTGAACATTGTTATATATATTTGAATTATGTATTACTGTGTGTGTGTGTGTGTGTGTGTGTGTGTGTGTGTGTGTGTGTGTGTGTGTGTGTGTGTAATCGTTTTCAACAATTTAGAGGAATATGTATTATTAGTGATTGATTTTAAGTTTAAGTCTTTTTAAAATTTAATTTCAAAATTCTGAAATTCTAATGACTATATTTCAGATGGACAGTTTGCAACAGTGGATATAAAGGTATCTTTAATGGATGCATTTGGACTCTGTCTCAAAATAAAACTCATCTCTCATATACAGTACAAGGACATTTAAAAGATTCTATAAATTACGATAATATCCTGTCTGAGTATTTTAGATTATCAGTATCATTGAAAGAACATTATAAACAATGGGCGAAAGCAGATACACATTTTCAAAAATGTTTAGATGAAAATAATGCTGTTCGAATATTAAAGCAAGATGTTGTAGAGAATTTATTCTCATTTATTTGTAGCTCCAATAATAATATATCAAGGTACATTTTTAAAAAATTGCACAGTAAAAATGAATTTATATATATAAAAATGAATTTATATTTTACTAAACATTTGTTTTAGGATATCAAATATGGTTGAAAAATTATGTTCATTATTTGGTCATAAAATATATTCGACTGAAGATAGAGAATATTACGACTTTCCAACGATAGAAGCTCTGAAAGAAAAAAATGTAGAAAGTATATTAAAAAAAGAAAAATTCGGCTATCGCGCTGCATATATAGTTAATGCAGCAGAACGTTTATCAACGTTGGGTGGGAAGGATTGGCTTCTAAATCTACAAAGAGAGAATGTTTCTTATCATGCTGCTAGAGAACAATTAATGACTCTGCCAGGAATTGGTCCTAAAGTTGCCGATTGCATATGCTTAATGTCACTAAACCATTTAGATGCTATACCTGTTGATACTCATATTTTCCAAATAGCACAGGCAAATTATTTACCACATTTAAAAAAAAAAAAGACAGTTACACCAAAAATTCATACTGAAGTAAGTAATTATTTACGAGAATTGTGGGGTCCACTAGCTGGATGGGCACAAGCTATTGTATTTTCTACAAAAATTAATACTAAATCTAAATCAATTGAAAAACAAAAACGCAAAAACAATAATGAAAATTCAGTACAAGCAAAAATACTTAAGGTGATATGATTATCATTTTATTTTCACAAATAATTAAGTTATGTAAAATTTTATTTAAATTTAGACAAAAATTTTATATTAATTACCTTTTTAACAATAAATTTTTTGTGTAATTTATACTGTTAAAATGACAATAATTATAAATATTAATTTCGATAATGTATTTAAATAAATAAATAATATTTACTTTTTGGTAAAAAAGAAATGTCCAGAAGAATTGGCCATAATTTTTGTTTTTAATCCGATGCACTAAAAAGTTAATAAAAGATTTGAAGATGATTGTTCAAAAATTATTTATTTTGCATCATTTTACATTCATATATAAAATATATCATTTTTGTTACTTATTCTGTATGTGAATAGACATATGTACATGTACTCATAAAATAATCTCAAAAATTTCTACATTTTTATCACAGGCTCGTGTATCATTTATTAATGTTTCTTCTTTTTTATTCCAAATCCTACAAGAGCATAGTCAAAATCATCTAGAATAATGTATTTTGCAGGAAATTCAATGTTACCTTCTTCGTTATCACAATCTGTCAATATAAGTAGAATTATTTACATGTATATTGCTTGACTTAGACACTTGAACACAAAAAAAAGAAACAAAGAACAGAACCTGTTTGAATTACCAATAGGTTTTTGTAGTATATCAGCAAAGATATTTTGAATAAGATAACGTAAACCAGGAAATTTTTTAGATAAATATGCTTTCTGCAAAGGTGATAAGACTGTTAGACAAGTGGTTTGCAGAGACACTGATATTGAGCAACTATAAGTTAATTTCATCACACATTGAGCCATCGTAGAGCTTATTAATGGGTAAAGCGTAACATTATTTAACTTTGTAAAAGCCACACCTACAAAATAATTAAAATTATATCTCTAAGAAGAATATTTGATTAAATGTTTTACTTTTATTTACCTAATGGTTTTCGATTTATAAAAAATTGTAATGTGCCAGTCCAAGTATCAAGATGTATTCCTATTAAGTCATCTTGACCAAAGGTTGTCCCATATTTACATGTCTTACCATCATGTTGTAAATAACCTTTATATGAAAAACCCCAAGATTCTCGATCTCGTCCAAGCAGAGCACAAAAACGTTCGCTTGCATTATGAAGCTCTGCATTTGCAGTTCCTATACCAACCATCTAAGATCGAGCAATAAATTATTATGTATATACTAAAGTGATACATATTGAAAATGTATCTATATCGTCAATGTAGATTCAGCAAGATGTCAAATAAACTTACTACATCAGTGCCATAAATATGTGTTATCATTAAAATCTCCCAATAATGATGCCTTCCTTTTTCCAATGATTTGTTACCTTTTACAACAGCTGTGCCAGTGCTATACACAGGATGAAAAGTAACATTTAAATTATTATCTGATAATTTAATTGATGAAGTTGATAATTTTTCATCCCAAGTCCATTCATATTTTGATGAAAAAAAGTCTGAAAGAAAATACGTAATTATTAATTTTAAATCTACTATAATATTTCTTTTTTCTCAAATAAAAGATAGATAATAATTTTAATTATTAAACAATAAAACGTACCATTTTCTATCTTTGCATGTTGACTCTTTGTAATTGAATCCATATTTTATGAATGAAATTTCGATAATTACATTTACGTCATTATATACTTTTTAAAGCTATTGACTATACTGATTGATGCAGGTGCAATAGTAGTCTCGTCAGATTCATCTGTTCTTCGATTATTTGCTTATGAAATAAAAATGGAAATGTTTCAATATTACGCATTTGCAATTAAAATAGGTGTACCTAGTACTACACCTGCTCGCTGTAGTAAGCAATTGAATGTGATTGGTTGGATCCAAAGATCTCAAGATTTCAAGACTTAAAGATGCATTGATATTCAATAGAATTTCTTTTCTAATTAAGGAATAATTAGAGAAGTCAAGTTGTCTTCATGTTTAGTAGTAGTGTAGCAATTCTATATTATCTAATAGAATTAAACTTCCTTTTGAATTACATTGAACTAGAGAGAGAAACCTGAAAGTGGAATCATATGTGTCCGTATTTTAAATGAATCCGTCTACTAGCGCCTTCTGTGTGCACAAAGCAAACACAGAATTATGTGGCCACGGATATTTCCACGGGTAACACATCTATTTCGTTTTTCAATTTTGTTCCATTATACATTAGGGAGTTTTTGCAATATCGTGTATCCAGATGTGATGACCGCTAAAATCACGTTATTTAGTGGATGGAAAGTTAAACTGCATTGGGAGTCTATACTATCGTTTTTTTCTATTAATTAATTGCTGAAGATGGTTTAAAATAAGTCAAAACATTCGAATAATTTAATGTATGAAGAATGTATTGATTTGATATAAATTAAACATTAAAATATTAAACGCTGACAATAACAGCAGTATCGCTCTTTTGTATTGATTTTTCTTTTTTTATTCTAATCTTTTATTATTAATTTTATATTAATTTTGATTTTTGTTTATTAAGAATTATTGATTTATTTTAATGTGAATATTATATTTTTCGAATGCTCTCTTTTTGATATCTATAAATGTTTGTTATAGAAATGTTG